TCTCTCTCTCTCTCTCTCTCTCTCTCTCTCTCTCTCTCTCTCTCTCTCTTCGTCGTGGTCTTCTTTGCAGGTGCGCGCGGCGGCTTCTTCAACCTACGGGTCCGCTATAGCGGACTTCTTCTGCGATGGCGACTTCAGCTATGGCGCGTAGCTCTCCCTGTGGCTCACGGTCGGCCGTGGAATAGCGGGTACCAGCTCTGATACCAATGCAATCAGACTCGCTATCTTTCACACTTCACATGCATGCAAACAGGTGCGCAGCAAACTGGCGACGTGCGCCCACTCAGAACTCGGAGATATGGTAACCAAGAACGCAGTTCAGAATCTTCATATACAAGTTCACTTAAAATGGCTATGGCGGCACACCGCCTGTACAACTCTCTGTTCGCACACACAAGATCACCTTGGATATCCCGCACGTGGTACTCGGTACACACACACACTCACACACACATGCTACACTCTATCGACAGCGATGGCGGCTATGGCCGCTACTACCCTATCGCTATGGCTAAGCTCCTTCTCGCCCACTTCGTCTTCGGGCTCACTGCAGACCACCTCGCACAAGTCGCTGTGGCAGCGCTTCCGCATGGCTCACGCAGGAATGAATGAATGGCTGAGCGCTGCCCTCTGATTTATACTTTTGTAGTTCGTTGGTCTGGCCCTTTCCCATGCCCATAGTGCACACAGTCCCATGAGGTACTTAGGAAGTGCTGATTTGTTGCTTGGCTTGTTGCTTGCCGGTTGTGTATGAAGGTAGAGAGGATTAATGAACAGCACCCCGATCCAGACAGCGTGCTGGAGCCAGAAGTTGTGCAGTCCGAGGATGTGAGCAGTCCTGGATCAAAGGCGGACTTTTGTGATGCAAAACTGGAAGTGGACGATGAAGGGCGGTTCTTTCTCTTGGAGACATGCCGTGTTTCCATTGCCGCTAAACAGCTGGTTCTGATAGCTCATCAAGCAATGGAGGTGAGTGGCTTTTCAGTGTGGAATGTGTTTCTGTGCAGTTGCACATGGGTTTTGCAGGACATAGAGATGAGGCTGTGAACACTAGTCAGTGCTTTCCACCTGCCTACTTGGCTGTCTGTGCCATGTAGCCAAAAGGTGTGATCTTCTTTTTCCATTCCTTTTGTCTTTTGTGATCCTTCGTATGGGTTTGGAGCTGGTTGAGGAGTGTCTGAGGTCGCCATGTCGGTCTTTAAGTATAATAGAATCCAGAAAGGGCCTGCTGTCATGTCCCGAGCTGTGACTCCGCATATATGGCATGGTGGCAAACACCTGTGACATATTTTCAGCTAGGGAGTCACTTATGCTGCTCTCCTCTTATGTTGTTTTCTACTGGGAAAGATCTGCTGGTGCTATGTTCGTTCTTGAAAAGCATGAACCTGCTTGTAGAAATGGCCAAATTGGTGCTTTCTAGCATGAACATAGAGTTACATAGCGCATGTGCAACCAGGACTTACTAGGAGCCTGCTCCACACTGGGCTACGATTAGAGTGGTGCGCTATCACTTCAATGGGGTACACATTCATACCTTCTTGTTTTCCTGCTTGGTGTTTAGTATACGGTCATTGGAGGAGGGGGGATAGTCTGTCACTAACCAGAGAAGGTGCTGCACACACTGAGCTAGGAGGACATCATTTTCATTTTTCTGCCAAGATTTACAGTTGTTGGCCCTGTGGCTTGCCGGACAAGTGCCCTGGAAGACAGTTACCAACCAAGGAAGCAACCGTCGTATGAGCACGAGTGAAGCAGCATAATTCATCCATATTGCTGACTGTTTGTTGCCCCCAAGCTGCTAGAGGTGATTACGGCATGGATAACAGGGAGCTGGTAAGGAGGAGCTGCTCGGACTGAGCCCAGCTGTGGTGATGGATGAGGCTGAAGGGGTATCATGTTTTGCATGTATCCAAGCTGTGTGTGTGTGTGTGTGTGTGTGTGTGTGTGTGTGTGTGTGTGTGTGTGTGTGTGTTTTGCAAGAAAGGGAAGCTACCACGCTAAAACAGCGCAGCAAACAATGAATACAGCACGCCTTCGCAACTTAACGTAGATCCTTGAAAAACGGTCCTTCGGATTATCGAAACTAATTTCCCAGGGGTTGCATTATACTCCAAAGCTCGATGTTAACAAACCAAAATATATTTGTGTAAATCGTGAGAGAAGAGAGCAATTTAAATGAGGCAAAATGTGAGGCATGATTAAGTACAGTTGTGGCCATCATGACGGAATTTTACCATGTGTGAGGGAACTGATACAAACATAGGGAAAGGTTTGTAATTATTGCTACACTCTTTACATGCGGTATTAAATACTATATTTTCGTATGTATGTACAGGTATACTGAGCATCCTTCATAGCCTGGAAATCTACTGCACAGATGCGAAAAATACTTCATCCGTACGTATATGAGAAACTCCGACGAACACGAAGTCTCCCAACGATACAATCAATTAACGTATGCAGAATCAGAAAAAGTTTCATTACGATAGGTATTATGGACTCGGGTATCTTTTGCTGATCTAACCATTCCGTATCCCTTCCCATTTTCATCAGTATTTTCCATACTTGCGGCGCCCTGGTGCGGTGCGCTGTGCGGTGCGGTGGGCTGCGCGCAGTGCGGCCAAGTTTCGGTGAGCGCGCTGTGCGCCGTGCGCTGTGTGCTGTGCGCACAGGGCCTCGGGACCTGTGCGCACAGTGCGCCGATTCAGTAAAGGAGGAGGAGGAAGAAGATGAGGAGGAGGAGGAGGAGGAGGAGGAGGAGGAGGAAGAAGAGGAGGAA